AGTTACAGTAGCTGCTTAACAGGTTTGACTTTATGCTGGCACACTGCTAGAATTTGATAAAGCACTTCATAAAATGTACAGGGATTTGCAGGAATGTACCACAAGCAACCCACAAAACATACTACAGGCTCACCTCTCTCTGAGTTCCTGTAGCTCCTCATACATTCCCTCGTCTTCACTCTCTGTCTCGTCGCTGCTAGCGTACGAGGTACTGCGTGTGTAACTCATCCACGGCTGATTTAGATTGAACTGAGGACTCCCGGCTGAACTTTCCAGCAAACTTACACTTATTCTCCTCCTCCTCCTTTCTGTCTCCTCCTCCTCCCCTTCTTCACCTCCACGTCCCTCGTCTGGTTCTACAACTTCTCTGTCCAGTGGTTTAGTTCCTCCAGTCCACAAGGGGACCCTGTCTGAGAGGCACAAAGCCACACTAGGTGGTTTGATAAGTGGTGGGGACTCATTCAGAGAGCTGTGACTGCTTTCTGATTCCACCTGTACGTCTGTGCTGCTGTCTGATTGGCTGTTGTGTGCAGGGGGCGTGGCTTGAGGATCTGTTATAGAGCATGTTTGGGTCAGTATGGATGTGGGCGTAGCTGTAGGGGTGGGAGTTGGCGTCAGGCTGGGAGTTGGAATGGGGATTTCCTTGCTTGGACTGACTTTGAAGCGTCCCACTGTGACAATAGACTTTTTCTCTGTGGACAAGGAGACAAGGGATTTTTTTTCCAATCACAATGTGGACAGTGAACATAACAGCAAAACAATAAAAAACAAAACAGGGTTTTACATTCTCTAAACAAAATGTGAGTGGTAAAACTAACTGTACAATGTGCTTAGTATGCAATGAGCTCTTACAGTCAATAGATGGCAGCTGTGTATTTTCATTTTAGCCCTTGGCTAGACAAATTGACATTATAGGCACTGAGTTTGAGTTGGCCACTACATAGAAATAAACCTGAGCAGAATATTGCAACAAAATCAACATTTTTCTATTTGAATATATTTTAAAATGTAATTCATTCCCGTGATGGCAAAGCTGAATTTACTGCAGCCATTACTCCAGTCTTCATTGTGTCACATGATTCTTCAGAAATCTTTCTAATGTATTGATTTGGTGCTCAGGTAACATTTTTGTTCTAACAATGTTGAAAAGCTGTGCGTGTAAATATTTTTATTCTTGCCTGGTTGTATGGCCTTCATGTACTTCTGTGTCTTTGTGTACAAGGAATAAAGGGTGTGTACTATTTATGGGTGTGACAGATGTAAAGAGTGCAACTCACCTTCAGATATAGGTGAGAGTCTAGATTTGGCTGCGATGCTATTCGTTTCAGACACTGCCAGAGACATGGACAGAGTGGGGGAGGACCTTGGGATGGGTGAGGACACCTAAAATAAGTTGAAAAACAAAAGTATCAACCCCAGACGTCCTTCTACAGGTGCTTTAAGACATGTAATAACAGACAACACCTACGTCAAATA